ATCTATCTATCTATCTATCTATCTATCTATCTATCTATCTATCTATCTATATCTGGAACATACTCTTGGAAAGCACCCCCCCCCTTTGTTAATAGCCCCAGAAAGATTGAGCCATCCTATCTACAAGACAAAAGGCCTTCAACTCCAGGGTGATAGGATTAGCCCTCACTCAAGATCCAAACCAGGACAAAGCCATTAAGCCATAATAGGAATTGTCCAACATCCTTTCAGAACACAAGCCTCTTCATTGCATCATCACCCAGCAAGATTCAACCAAGCCTGGGATACAGATAGCCTACAAGGTTAGCTGGACCCCCACATAGCCTCCTGGGAGTCTGACAACCAATAGGTTACACTTCTTGCACAGGAACAGGAAGCTCTAGGGCATAAATATCTCTCACTCTCTACTCCATGTGTTCAGCTGCACCAGGACCATGTGCTTAATGGTACTGCTGCATTAAACCAGTTTTCCAAGCAGCCTCCACGTTTCCAAGTGTCTTTCTCCCCGCTTGGAACTGAACCCAGATGGACATTTCTTCCAACAGTCATCGCAGCTCTTTCCATTTGTATCTAAGGAAAACCAGTGGAAAAGCTGGCTCTTAGGATGCTCTGTGTAGCAGTTTTGCAAAATTAGTTGGGTAGATACTTAACTGCCTTACTGCTATTCAAACAGATTCTATAAAGGTTAGATTAAACCTGCCCTTGAGTGTGTGTGGATATTTTCATCTTCTTGTACATTCATACTGCATGCCCTGAATATTTTTTTCTACGAAATCAAACGCACACATTTGCAAGGGAGATTGCATCACTTAGCATACGTTTGCTGTTTCTTTGGGATGGATACATATGCAACAGATCAAGTAACTAGAATTTCACATTTTTCTGTGTGTTTGTCATTCCAATAGGCTTGATTAATCATGCATCCCAATCAAAGGCAAAATACAGAGCTACAAACTATTATCTAGACTGCTAGTGCACAGTTCAATTGATCTTTCTGCTTTCTCTAAATTGGTCCAAAGGAAATATTTTCCACTCAATGCCAAAACTATGAATTTCCCCTCTTGAAAATAGAACATCAGACATGTTCCCATTCTTTTGTAATCTTATTAATTTCTGAAATCCCAGCTAGTTATCAGCATCTAGCTGTGTTGGCTCTCTGCCAAAAGCTAATCCTTGAAGGATGGGAGACCATAAGAAAATCCCAAGTTGTTAGGTTAAATCCAAGGTAAGCGATGGCAAAAAAATGACTTTTGTAAGGTTGCCAAAAGAATTTTACCGCTGCTGCCCATCGTCACCTTGGTTAGAACTCAAAAACTAAATCTATTTGTCTCTTCAAACAAAACTGCTCCATTTGTTTCATTGTTCTCTTCGGGCAAGGATGAAAGAGGCAAAAAAACAGCATTGTAGCTAGGACAATATGCCACAAAATATTTCATGTTTGTAAAACAATGAATTTGTTGGCGTTTTCCTTTTCCTTTTACATCTGAGAATCTGCTTTTCCAATACTCAACAAAGCCCCATTTTGGTTCCTTTTTCCTTCTCTCCTTCTCCAGCTCCCCTCAAACCTACATGTCCTCCACCTTCCTTTTTTGTTGCAGCAGGAAAATGGAGGCCTTCGACGGTGTCCAGAAAATCCACGTGGTGGCTATGACGGTGTGAGGGAAGCTCCGCCCAGTTTTGATGGGCACTGTGGCTGCCATCTTACCTTCCTGAACTCTACTCTTCGGATACTCCTGGAAGCACCCCAAACCCCAGCAACATGGATTGACCTCTTCTCCATGCAATGATCGAGGGTTGCCATTTTTAAAAAAGGAACACAAAGCAATGACCCACATTTTCTGGTATTTCTACTGTTTTCTATATCCTTTTAAAATGTATCATCATCCCTATCAAGATGAAGGCCACAAATGTTCTAAAGAAGTTCTGTCCCCACTTAAAACTGAAGAAAATGGAGGTTTAATCCTAGATTTCTATGGCCAGTTTATGGCTCTTCCTGTTTAAGCTCTTGAGTTAAGTTTAAGGCTGTCAGTTCCCATTACACAGTTATATATGCCTACTAGTTGATTTTTGTTTACACGCACGCCCACCCACACCCATCTTAATCCCAAAGGCCACCTAGGTAGAAGGCCTCGATGTCCACAGCTTCATTAATGCTGACTACTGAATGATTTTCCAAGTGCAGAGAATTTTCCTCCCAAAACCACTGGATGTGCCCCCATGGGATTTTGGGGGTGAAGAAGGTGGGCCTGGTGTCCAACTGATGCATGTTCAGAGCCTGAAGTAGAACTCAAGGAAGGGCTGTTGGCACTACCCTCAAGTGGCTACCTGGAGACGCTTCTGCCTGCAAGTTGCTGGGCAAGCCCCTTGAACCTGCACTTAGCTTCTGACCAAACTATCCTTAAAAGGCAACAGCTCATGTAGGATGGAGACCCCAGAGGCAGCAGGACATTAACTCCCTTATGGTTAGAGCCATGCTGGAGTAAAATATGGAAACACCCCAATGATCTTGCCTCCTGACCTTGGATCTCTGCGCACTTCTCCCTTTGGGCCAGGCTGCTTGCCTTCAGTGATCAATTAGCCTCTCTCCTGCTGAGAGTTTGGGAAGTGGGGTGTGTGTCCGTGTCCTGAAATTGTCTCTGGCCTTTCGTCCTGGGGACCATGATGGCGCTTGTGGAAGTCTCAGAGAGCAGACATACTTATTCTCTCATGATGCTTGAAGCCAGGTGGCTTGGAATTCCTACATTTATTCTAGCCAATCTACCAGCTCTTTGTTAGAACTTGCTTTGCTGGTTTCCTTGGCAGATGCAGAGAACTATTAGCCACTGCTTCAGAGGTGGTATTCAGCAGGTTCTGACCGGTTCTGAAGAACCGGTAGCGGAAATTTTGAGTAGTTCGGAATATCGCCTCTGACTGGCCCCGCCCCTATCTATTCTCTGCTTCCTGAGTCCCAGCTGATTGGCTGGGTCTTCTTTGGTTGCCCTGCACAGGAGAACGGAGCTGGAAAGCAGATTAGTGGGGTGGGGAGGGAATGGGATTTTGCGGTATCCTTCCCCTGCCACACCCACCAAGCCATGCCACACCCACAGAACCGGCGGTAATTTTTTTTTTAATCCCATCACTGTACTGCTTTCTTCTGGAATGTTGTTTGATTTCCCAGTCTGCCATCTTGATTATGCCCTGTGCCTGCTCCATCCAAATATGGAGCTTATCTTCTGACACTTACGGAAACAGGCATTACACGGTCATGATCATCTCTGGAGGCTTCAACCATTGAAACAAAATCACATTGCTCTGATAGGGCATCTGATAAGAACTATCTATCAGATAAAAGATTAGGGTATGGAAAAAAAAAGAGAAGAATGCCTTGAAAAACTTACCAGGCAGTTGAGCTCGGGAAAGACATCAGTGGTGGAGTTAAAGCTTCTCCTTTTAAAGTGTGGGCAGCCTGGGATGGTTGAGAGGCAGGCTGAGAATGCGCCTGAGTCTCTACTTGCCTTGAGTCCTGAGTTGGTTTAATCCACCGGCTTGTTTCCGGTTTCATCCATTTCCCCTGGATTCCCCATCGGGCCATGTAAACTTTGCAAATGTCGTAGTTCATGGAGGAGTAATATAAAAGGTCCAGAACCAGCAAGACTACAACGAAAAACCCATAGACCCAAACGCCTAACAGTGCACTGTAATTGCTGTAGAAAGAGAAGAGAAAAGCTGGTGTTAGAAAGGGACTGTTGATGCCTTGCTTCCTGCTCCTCTAATTAGGCACTTAAAGCTGTGAAATATACAGCTATTATCAGTGGTGCGATTCTACCAGTTCGGACCGGTTCGCATGAACTGGTAGTTCTGGTAAACCCTGCCCTTTTCCTGTGCTTTATTTCTTTGTTTTTGAGCACAGATGATTTGCGCAGCAGACCAGTTTGCCACACATCAGCTGTTTTACTCACCGGGGCTGCAGCAGAAGATAGCTAAAAATGGTCTTTTCCAAAGGCTGGTCGTGCGCGTGAAGCGAACCAGTTGTTACACTGAACCGGTTGTTACACTGGTTGAATCGTACCACTGGTTGCTGGGCTCCATGTTTCTACCTCTGCTTCTGCTTCTTTTCTTGCCAAAAGTGAAACCGGCAGCCTCAGACTCCTATGCGGCTTCCTGCAACATTGCACACCCCTTGCCTAGCTTCAACAAGAGGACGGGATATCTGCCTATGACAGATAGTACATCTTGATGTTCTGTGTGGTGCGCTATGGTGGCACAGTGGTTAGAATGCTGCATTGCAGGCTACTTCTGCTGGCTGCCGGCTGCCGGCAATTTGGCAGTTCGATTCTCACCGGTTCAAGGTTGACTCAGCCTTCCATCCTTTGGAGGTTAGTAAACTGAAGACCCAGATTATTGGGGGCAATTATAATACTCTGTGAAACCACTTACAGAGGGCTGTAAAGCACCATGAAGAGGTATGTAAGTCTAAGCGCTATTGCTATCGATGTCCATCGATAAGAGAAACAAACACACACGCTGCAAAAACTTGGACAGACTAACTCACTGCCATGGCTGGGAAGGGGAAATTTGGACTCTGTGAAACCTGGAATCTTTGAAATGGGATGGACTAAGCCAGTGTTTCTCAATGTCAGCAAATTTAAGACGTGTGGGCTTCAACTCCTAAAATTCTGCAGCCAGCATAGGGAATTCTGGAAGTTGAAGTTCACACATCTTCAAGATGCTGAGGTTGAAAAACACTGGTATAGATGAAGTTTCTGAAAGTTTTTCCTGTCCCGTGGCTTCTTTGAAAAGGCAAATAATTCTTTTGCATCACATAGCCTAAAGAATGCAGTTCGGAAATCCTATGTTTCAATGCCATCCATTGAGAAAAAATAATTTGGTGGGGAAAAGACTAAAGAAACTAGACAATATTAAAGGAAACTTTCTCCCTTTTCTTTATCCAATGTTTCTTTTTGAGACATTCAAGCTGTGACAGTTCAGCTTGAGTAAAAATTGCTCAATATGACTTTGCCAATTGCAGAGTTTGGCCTATGAAAAATACAGGATTGCTAAGTGGCTCCCTAGTTTTGCATTCCAATATGTGTGTTCTTGTTTTTTTACCCAGAGTTGTGCTTCTAGCAATGCTTTGTAAAATGTATTACATTATACTACTAATTAGATTCACAGCCTGCTTCATTTCTGTCCTACATTTCTTCTGTAGAGGCTCTCCAGAAAGTCATTTCCAATTGGATAGAGATGACATCGAGGGTGGGATCGAAAGCATTTCCACATATATAGGTATTGGTTCAATGAATAGAGAAATGCAGAAGCAAAAAGCTCTTGGATCAAATCGTGTTTGTTTTTTTAAAAAAATTGAACTTTTAAGCATTTTCCTCTTCCAAATAGGATCAATTTTCTTTTCAGAAGCTGCCTATCGCTAACTCGGTTTTAAAAACCCAACACATTTCTATTTGCAGGAATCTTTTCACTTCCTCCGTAGGAGTGCTTTCTATAAAAGGTTTATGTTGCTCAAGTACAATCAACCAAAGGAAAACATTTTCCAGTTGAACTATAGTTAACTCTTCTATTACGTTGAGTAAGAGAGGAGGAACGGAATCAGCTCAAAGGATTCCAAGTCTACGAAGTTTGTGGTCAAAGCAGTAGAAACATCAGTACAACAAAGATGCAGGATGCTCAGAATAACGAATGCCATTTTCCCATACGGATTTGAAATATCTGCTGGTTGGGTGCAAAATCAGATCAAAACAATAAAAAGTCCCATGGATCTTAGTGTGGGTCTTAGCAGATAATCAGCATTTAAGAAACCTGAAGTGATCTAGATTAAGGAATCTAATTTAATATTTGGAAGGGAAATTCTATTCCTTTATACAGTATTTTCTAGAAGGACTACCAGCTTCTGTAACAGCTTTGCTGCCCATGCCATCCAGCTGGTAAACTTGGGAGATTCATTTTTCTCGTCACGTGCATGTATACATCTGAATTAGACTGTGTTGTTTCTCTGTGTCATATAATATATGTGGGTATATGCCTATTTATTTATTTATTTGTCATGTTTATGTAGTGTATATTGGAGGTGGTGACCTTTTGAGAACTGTACGCATTAAAATTTCTTTTTAATCTTATGCTGATTTGTGTACATTTAAAGTGACAATAAAGCTAGTCTAAGTCTTTCTCTGGTATATTCTGATACATTTTAAGTTACTAATGCTTTTATGTTTTTAACTGACATTTTATGTTACTGAAACTCCTTTTTTTCGTGTTTTACTTATAGCCAAAAGTGTTTTTGAAATGACAAGCAAATTTTTATATATCCTTCAATTTTATTCTTCTATCTTTTCCTCCCCTCTTTTCCAATGTTGTTTCAGTACATCTTCATTATTATTGGTTCTCTTCCTATCCCCTTAAGTTTCTCAGAGGGGCACTCAACCAAGACCCACCTTTCTCTGGTCACAAGCTTATAAATATTTTTTAAAATCCCTTCTGTTTCACCCTTCAAAACCTTTGTTAAGTTCCAAAACTCCGGAATATCATATCTAGCTCTGTTCCACTTGCCATTATTGTAATAATCAATTTCTTGACTACTAAAGCTTGTTAGGATATTCTTTCTACTACTGTTCCTGTAATTTCATTTGTTTGTAATGTCCTACTTGCTTTAAGCTTACCTATGTACAAGAAATATATAATATATGTATATTTAAAAAGCTGAATTAAAGTGTCTTAGAGGAGGAGGGTATGACAAGCTAAAAAGAGAGATGCCTATGATATCCTTCTCTTAATTTCAGCATTTAACATAAAGTATTATTGTTTATTCCCCATCTGCAACTACTGCATATCTTTAACTGAGACAAGAAAGCAGGAAATCCCAGTGCGATAATCTGTCATTCTGTTAAAGTACAATATATAAGAAACATGATGATTCTTTGTAATACATTATTATTGATTATTAAATTCCTATCCTAGAGGAGAATCTGTGGCTGAGTACTATAATAATGATTTGAAACCACAATAATACGTTTTTGTAGTGCACAACTCATTCTTATGCAGCTCGACTACTCAGTGTAAAAATTTGGATTCTGCAAAGTGATTCTTCCTTGGCATAAACTACGTAATGCTGCATTCAATTGCTATAGTGTTTAAGATGCTGGCCTAGTGACCAGGAGGTGGTGAATTCTAGTCCTCCCTTAGGCATGAAAGCTAGCTGGGTGACTTTGGGTCAGTCACTCTCTCTCAGCCTAATCCAACTCTGAATATGTTGTTGTGGGGAATATAGGAGACTGGAAAATTAAGTGTGTGTGACACACACACACACATACATGCAGACACTCACACATACTAGATAAAAGGTTAGATAATACCAGGAAATAGTAGAATAGAAGACAAAGAATGAGAGAAGATGACAAAAGTATCAAGATCTAAAAAGTGAAATTGAAAGGTTATGGCATAAGCCGCTCATGGTGATCCAAATCATCAGCACAAACCAAAAAACTTGGATGACACTTAGAAAATCTGCACATTGACAAAATTTCCATCTGTCAACTGCAAAAGACCAGAAAAATAATAATAATAGAGTTAGAAGGACCTTAGAGGTCTTCAATCCCGTGCTCAGACAGGAGACCCTATACTAATGGCAGGGACGGAGCATCACGATTTCTGAAGGCAAACTATTCCACTGGTTAGTCTCACTGTCAGGACATTTCTCCTTAGTCCTAGGTTGGATGTCTCCTTGATTAATTTCCATCCATTGCTTCTTATCCTGCTTTCAGATATGTCAAACTCAAGGTCCACAGGATAGATCTGGCCTGCAGGGTGCTTAGATCTGGCTCGCTGGGCTAACCTGGAACAGCAAAGGACCGTCTCTGCCAGTGAAAATGGAGGTTGGGAAGGATGCACGTGCCCCGCCTCCCGAGCTCTGTTTTAGCTGACAGAAGGTCATTGCAGCTGAAAACGGAACTCAGGAGCCCATTTTTGCTGGCAGAGCTCTCGGGCCGCCACAGGCACCCCCAACATGAGTGATGTTCAGCTGCCACGTCCAACTGGCCATGCCCCCCTGCAGTCAAACACAACCCTGATGCGGCCCTCAATGTAATCGAGTTTGAACACCCCCCTGCTCTGGAGAATAGATTGACAGGCCTTTTGTTCATAACATGCCAAATATCACAGTTATTGTAAAGAAGAAGGCCTGGTTCATTGATTTTGCTATTCTGGGAGTCGCTAGGATAGAGGAAAAACAATTGGGAAAAATTATGAAATACTGGGGCTTGCAGATTGAAGGTCAGCACTATTGAAAAAATAAATCCCTTGTTATAGTGATCACGACTGGAGCTCTCGGAGAGATAAAGGTGGAATGGGACAACTCGCCAGGGCCAAATCGCTGCAAGATAATTCATCACAGGACAATTCAACAATTCAAATTAATTATTTAAAATAATTTAAAAATCTTTTAATTTTTGTCATTCCCGTTTCATTTTGTCCCTCTTTCTGCACCCTTTTTTAATGGTTCTATTCCACCATTTCTTCAATATTATTGTAACTCCTGTCCCGCAGCAACTTGTCTCATGGCAAATTGGCCATGGAAAGTTGTCACAGCAAGTTGACCATGGCGAGTTGTTCTAGACCCACTTAAAGGATTTCCTTGATATCTGGAAATATTGAATTTATCAGACCTCAGTACCCTAATTTACAAAATTCCACTCTG